GCTGGTTTCGAACTCCTGAGCTCAAACAATCCGCCTGCCTCGGCCTCCCAGAGAGCTAGGATTACAGGCGTGAGCCACCGCGCCCGGCCTCTCAGTAATGTTTGACGTTACCAAGAAAGCACTGCCCCATCCCAACACTATCTTTACTATCAATGTTTGCGTTATACTAGGATCAGTTCATGTATTTCTGCAACGTACAATCAGACAGACTTCAAAGATAAAGACACAGAGTGGAACACAGACATGGAGAAAAGTATTACTCTATTACACTGGTGTACTATTGTTTTAAAATTGTTGTCGGCGGATCCAGGAAAAGAAACTGTCTACATAGGACAAACTTGTTAAACAAAAATTTCCGTTTAAACTATAGAATCTATAAAAAAATTAAAATATTTTAAATGGACTTCAGATTTTTTCAATTCTAATCCTCTACCTCTGTGACATTACACTACTTTTATTTTCCTATGTTTGAAATTCAAATAATGCTGGCATTACAATTCTATCTAACCTTAAAATGAAAATGAACTGAAAGGCAGTTGTAGAGCAAGCCCTAACACACGTATTAGAGCCTCATAAGAAGACATGGGCAGTAACAGGGGCTGCTTCCTCCTTCCCAGGTTCCAGGCACTTGACTTACACACACAGCATAACCTTCCACTATTCCTAAGAGCAGGAAGAAGGGGGAACTACCTACTAAAGCATTTCTAGTTACTGCTGCTCAGGGAACACGCAGGAGGGCCCAAATGAAGTAGGTAGTCTATAACTCTTAGAGCCTGGGGGCCTTCTTCTAATAGACCTTTTCATTTTTAAAGCTTTCTTACTGGCCAGGCGTGGTGGCTCACGCCTGTAATCCTAGCTCTCTGGGAGGCCGAGGCGGGCAGATTGTTTGAGCTCAGGAGTTCAAAACCAGCCTGAGCAAGAGCGAGACCCCGTCTCTACTAAAAATAGAAAGAAATTAATCGGACAACTAAAAATATATAGAAAAAATTAGCCGGGCATGGTGGTGCGTGCCTGTAGTCTCAGCTACTCGAGAGGCTGAGGCAGGAGGATCACTTGAGCCCAGGAGTTTGAGGTTGCTGTGAGCTATGATGACGCCACGGCACTCTAGCCGGGGCAACACAGTGAGACTCTGTCTCAAAAAAAAAAAAAAAAAAAAATCGCTGAGGATAAAGATGGGCTGTTCAATAAATGGTACTGGGACAAAAATATGCCCATGTGAAGAAATATAAAATTAGACCTATACCTCATACCATATACCAGAATAAAAACCAAATTAAAAAAGATAGGAATATATAACCATGGAATCATAAAAAGACAAGAATAAAATATGGGGAAATACCTTTTTAATTTTGGAGTAAAGAAGATCTTTCTGGCCAGGTGCAATGGCTCACATGTGTAATCTCACCACTTTGGGAGGCAGAGGCAGGAAGATTGCTTGGGGCCAAGAGTTCAAGACCAGTCTGGGCAACATAACCAGACCCTGTCTCTACAAAAAAAATAGAAAAATCAGCCAGGTATGGGGGCCCACCTGTAGTCCCAGCTGCTCTGGAGGCTGAGGAAGGAGGATCATTTGAGCCTAGGAGTTAGAGGCTGCACAGAGCTGTGATCCTGCCACTGCATTCCAGCCTGGGTGACAGAACATGACCCTGTCTCTAAAAAAAAAAAAGCGGCCTTTCTAACTATCACTCAAAATCCGGAAGCTGTGACTATAAAAAACTTTGGTTGGCAAAAAGCACCTTAAAGAAAGTCAAGGCAAATGATTAAAGAAATAGTCTGAACATGTATATCATAGACAAAAGGCTAATCTCAATATTCCAGAATTGAACAAGAAGGTCCAACAATCTAAGAAAAATGAAGAGAATTTACTGAAATCCAAATTAAAAAAGATATGAATGTATAACCATGGAATCATAAAAGGACAAGACTAAAACATGGGGAAATGGAAGTACAAATGGCTCTTAATCGTATGAAAAAATTCAGCCTCATTTGTATAAAGAAAAATGCAAGTTAAAACTCTTTGAGAGAGCATTTTCCCACCTTTGATTGGCAAGCTTCCAAAAAATTGACAGTGCTCTCTATTGGTGTGGCTGCCAGGAAGTGGACATCCTCAGACATGTCTGGACTGCAGAGGAGACCATCTGATGATGTGTGTCAAGATAAATACATAACAAAACTTTTGCCCCAACAACTCCACTTCTGGAAGTTTGTGTACAGAGATACTTGTAGATGTGTGAAATGAAATAGGTCCACACTTGTTTATTGCATTATTTATAGGTACGAAACACTGGAACAACCCCAGTGTCCATCACTAGGGGAAAGATTGAATAAACTCTGGTTCATCCAAACAGTGAAATACTCTATAACTCGAAAAAGAAACAGAAACTTTCTATGTTCTGAAATGGAAATATCTCCAAGGTAGATCGTTCAAAGAAAAAAAGGGATAGAACTGTATTAAAGAAGATTGGGTAAAAGGGTGGAAATGAAAAAAATATACTTGCATTTACAGAATATTGTAATATTTCGGAAATATTGATAAATATTCAAAAAACTAACAGCAATGATTTCCTGTGGTGAGGCAAGGACAGAGTGGGCCCTGAGTAGGTAGGGGACAGGGATGACAAAGATAATTTTCATGTTAGATTTTTTTTTTTTTTTTTGAGACAAGGTCTCTCTCTGTCACCAGGGCTAGAGTGCAGTGGCATCATCATAGCTCACTGCAGCCT